TGATGGGGACGTCAACTGTACTTTAGAGCCACGACTAGACCGTTTCTTTGTATCTCCACCCGGACGACACGATTCCTTGGTGTTGCGAAGGCTTATCGGTCGAGCGCAGCTCAGTGATGTTCTTGAAGGTGCCGTGGAGACAGCCGAAGATGAGAGAGCTGAACCGGCATTTCATTCAGCGGCTCACACTTTTTTATACACTCTGCCGGGCGGTGGTTCGGCTAGTTCGCGACTCGATAGGTGGTATGCGAGCTCGCTGCATTCTGATTGGATTGGAGACGTTGATATGTCGGTACCGATTCCTGCTGTTGACCACAAGGGCCTCAGCATCAAGATTGGCGTGCCCCGCCATGTGGTCCGTGTCCGAAAGCCGAGGCGCGTGTACCCTCTTCCAGGTTGTGCACATGCAGCCGCGCACAATTCCATCATTGCAGCAATTACGCTGGCCCAGCTTTGGGCTGACGCGATTATTTCTGTTCCGATGTCAGACTATACCACAGCAAGGAGCTTGGCGGACTGGTTGGACGACTGGAATATAAGTCTTCGTAGATTTTTTTGGTGACTAACAATACCGTGCGTCAAGGCCTGACAAAAACTATCGGCAGCGACTGCATCGTCTCTATGTCCGACTGAATACTGCTCTCCTGGTGGCGCGTACCTCTGATACCTCACCTTCGGGCGACTATGAAGGATGCGACCAGCCTAGCACCCCCGATACTCCGGTGGAACTTAGGCGTTAAGTGGCAGAGTGTCGCCGCTTATGGCAACGAACCACGAAAGAACGCCTTCTCGTTTAGAACACTTACACGCCTGAAAAGACTTACCGCCAATTTTATACTCGAGTTTTGACTAAGTTTTAGGACAACTTTACCGTATCACTGGGAGGAAAAGCGTCATCCGGGCCGAATAGGTCCCAGGACTTGGCTGACGAAATGTCCGACGGCTGGGCGCGTATTATAACTTATTATTTTGCCTGTCCCGACAATGCCGCCGCGTTCCTTTCCCGGGCCACCCCTCCGGACCGGTTTGGTGACTCTACTGTGACATCAGACATTTCTCCCGACGATGTGAGTGCGGCTCTACAGATACATAAACATGGTAGAGCCGCTGGATATAATTAATAACACATTTTAACTGCGATTACGCGGACACGCTCGGTCCCATTCTCGCGACATTAGACACCAGATGGCTTACGTGCAGCGTGATATCGGCGTCGTTTGGTGAAGAAAATATTAAGTGTTTGATGAAATCTCCGGCCTCTGCCTTTCCGCTTGATCATCGCCCGATCGCTCTCCTCAAGAATGGCTAAAAGAAATTCACCAAGATTTTTTCGTTTCGGGTGCAGCCACTGCTGTCGCAACTCGTCCTGCCGGCTCAAGTTGGTTTTGTTCCGAAGCGATCGATCCATACGGCTCTTGAAATTTTAGCGGCGGTACGCAAAGCTGCAAACTTGAACAGCAATCTACATGGAGCAATTGTTCTGCTTATCGATTTTGCAAAAGCGTACGACACATTGCGACGTCCAAATTTACTTTCGGCGCTGACGTGGCTTGGGTTGTCACCCGACTTCGTATCCGTCGTGGCAGCATTACACCGCGACACCACGTGCAATTTTCTCGTCAATGAATATCGCTCGAGTCGACGTGCCGTTACTTGTGGAATCCGGCAAGGGTGCCCTCTTGCGCCACTTCTCTTAATTCTCGCCCTCGATAGTGTCTATCGGGTGCTTCAAGCGCGGGGATCATTCGAGGTTTACCTACCACATCTGGCGGGCGGACAACTGAGCTCAAAGTCTCGGGATATACCGACGTCACTGCTTATACCTTCGCTACCGGTCTCCAATTTTGCCTGTTATCGTTATTCTCGATGACTTTGCTCGCGTGTCAGGTCTTTAGACAAATCAAGCTGAATCAATGGTCCTCGGACTGGACCCGCGCGGATCAGCGCAACCTGTAAGCTTCTGTGGTCTCACTTTGCTGGTCCTCGGCGAAGCTTGGCGGTAACTTGGTGTTCTGGTGGGGCAACAGGTTGCGGGAGCCGATATAGTGGAATAAGTGCATTCCGATCTCTCTGGAGCCTACTTATATTAACACTGGATAAGACGCACACGGTGGAACAACGGGCTCAGCTCGCCAGTGCTATTGCTGTCCCCAGTACACCGTTTTTAGCACGGCACTGCTGGCCTCCTCCTGACGTGGTTATCAGGCTGCTCGGTCTGATTATTGACTTTCTGGGGCGTCCGTGATGGCAAGCGGTCCCGACCGTGGGTCCCTTCCAGGATAGCTTTTTTACCAATCCCTCAGGGTCTAGAGGTGCCTCGTATTCATGCGGAATAGACGACAATGGCAGCTACAGCAATTGGAAATTCATCAGCTACTCTTTCTTCGAGGGAATTACGGCTTGGTGATTGCTTGTGGGGATCGAGCGGGTCGAGTCCTGCTTACATCACGCCTTGTTGGACTGAAGACAAGCATCCTCGGTATCGAGCGACTATATGGCAAACCGGGTCCGACATTGTTGATAGTTATGCGGCTCGGCACGCTCGACAAGGCGCGGTCAGGGAAGTCAGCAGACGTGCCGTCTCTTTTACATCGAGAGATACGGTAGCCTATAATGACGACGGTAGTGTTACCGTTAATGCTCAGCGGGTTCTTGATGATCGACTGCGCGCCGGGATGCGTGCTAAGGTTGCGCGTCGGGTCGATTTGATAACCGATGGCTAGTCCACGCCACGCTCAAGAATACGTCGTGGCTGCGAGATCGACGGGGTACGGCTTACACATTGAACAGAGCCGCCTTTGCCCTGAGTTTGACTTACCTTGGAGAGGCAATGTCTTGAAAGATTTCGAAGACTGGCATTGTCTTGTTTTCTCCCACGCTTGACATGGCAGACCAGTCTATGGCGAAGAGACGGCATTTCGGGTCCTTCTGCCTCCCACTTCTTTACAATTTCCCGTTTCTGGTCTATCGGGCATTGGAACCTGGGTTTCTAATTTCGTACTCAACGAAGGTGCACCAATTCCATGACTGGCTTCTAACTAGTGAAGGTATATCTCACCTGCATTTCGATACGGGTATGGAATGTGGGTTGCAACCCGTCTCGTCCATGACGGCGTGCGATATCGCCGCTTCCTCATCCAGTGGGATTCTGTCCACTTTGGCGCGCATTTGATGCTCACGCGGGTTGTCCACCTGTGGGCCGGTCGTCGACGGTGGCGGCCACGTCGAAAGAAACTAAAACAGCTGATCTCCTGGCTGCGCCATATGGAAGGAACTGAAGATTCTCAAGGAACGGGTGCAAAGGCGGACTTTTACGTGATTCAAAAGGTTCACCATTGATCACGTGGAGAGACACTCGACAAATTCGTGCGTCTTCTCCGACCCTCTCTTCAACGATATATCGACTGAAGAATAACAGTTTTTCGCTCTGGAATTAAGTAAAGTAAGATCAGTCGTGCCCTGTCCCTGACTGTGTGGATGCTGGTCCAGCTCTGGCAAGATATATCTTTTGGACATGCCCTAGCGCGCGTTGACACTGGAAATACCTCCTTAATCGGTGGCGATGGCTTTACAATTTCCAGGAGGATGTCTTGCATGTCTGGGTGTTTGTACTGGACCTCCCGGGGAGTCCGCCAAGCGCATGGGTTGTTGTCAAGCAATCTATGAGCACAGTGGCAGATTTATTGAAAGCTCAGGCAGCGGTCTCTTTGTCAGCTCGAGAGCTGTGGTGTTTTGACGTATCAACGACACTTCATGCCATCTGGGTTGAGCGCCTCCGCCGCATGGAAGACCCGTCTATATCACAGGATGTTCACACAGCTAGGGCCAAGACTATCTTTCGCCGGTCGGTTCAAAAGTTTCGTAGATTAACCTACCAGTCCGACATGGAGGAGGACGGGCAACTTTGTGCGCAGGTACGGTCGGCCTTGGCCGATACCCTCCTCTGCTCCAACGAACGTCCTTTGTTGCGCGTACGCCCTGTCGAACGGTGCCCAGGAGTGCTCTACCTCCTCTTTTTCGATGGAGGATCCCGCGGAAATCCAGGTCCAGGCGGAGCTAGATCTGTTATTGTCCGACTTTACATTTCAACGCACGCTGCATGCGTTTTGTGAGTAGCGAGCGTGGCCTATGCCTCTACCGATACCACTACCAATATTGCGGAATACTAAGGTTTCGTCCACGGTCTTCGGCAAGCAAAGACCAACGACTACTCATTCCTGCATGTCATTGGGACAATGCAATTGTGCTTGCACAACTCCGAATACGGCACGCTCCACGCAAGCAACACTTGGTGCAGTTTTTTTACAGAGGCCTGCGCCATCGCTAACAAATCCGTGTCTCCAGCTGGGGATTTCATGATCGCTCCTACAACAAAATGGCGGATCGACTGGCGCATATCGCTATGGACACAGGAGCTTCGGTTCAAGCGCACGCTTCTTCTTACCCCGTTCTAGTCCAGGACTCCACGAACTTTCTTGATTCTGATGTCTATCATCGGTTGAAAACCTCTTGAGCCGAACAATACGTCATACAGGGCCTCGTACTGACACCGAGGAACCTGACCATCTCGCGACAGGAGTCTGCGCGCAGGCGTTCTGATGTTTGCGACCTAGTGCTACCTAGTATATAAGGTAGCAGTCACCCCGGTAACATTGTTGCCGGGTGACAGGATGTAGTAGGTCGTAAGCGTACCGAAATATACCTCACTTTCTCACTCACTCACTCTAAGACTCAAGCTTGAGATGCCAGCCACGGACCGCGTCTGCCAAAGGTAATTGTGCAGTGTCAATGACAAAGTTGCGAGTTGAGCATTTGTCATCGCAGGTGGCATTCTGATACAGCATTAGGATATGATATGACAATGCGTAGACCAACGTTTGGTTCGTGCTTGCCAAGACATGACAATGGGAATGAGATTACTCTGTTCGTCACTTCAACGTCACTCGTTGTGCTGCAGCAAAATTGAATAATCACTTCGCAGTCGTCCGTGACTGGTATCGCTAAAGACGCAGCTCCATGAGTAGCGCGTCGTGACCAGGTTTGTAGTAGTCGGCACGAACACTTGTGCGCTTGAACCCGTGCGACTCGTATAGTGCGATTGCCCCCTCGTTCGTCGTATCCACTTCGAGCACGAACGTCGTCGCCCTGCAGAAGCAGTCGACATGATACGAACAAGAAAGAACATCTGCTTGTCAAGGACTTCTGAGCTCACCGTTGCACGTACCTGTTGGTGCGTAGAGTCGCGATGGCGGACTGAAGCAAATACCGAGCGAGACCTTGTCGACGGTGGTGCTCAGCTACAGCGATGCGGTCAACGTGGCCTTCGGTCTATACTTACAGTTGCATGAGCTGGATGCGAGACACAACATCTTGGTACGCAGTAGCAACCACGTACGCCGTTGCGCCGGAACAGTACGTAGCCAAGAACAATCGCATTGCTCGTATCCATCGCCATGAATAACGTGTTGTGGCTGAGCCATCAGAAACAAAAAAGGATGAGTGTAAGCAGCTGATGCCACGCACGAGGGGCCGTCAATGCGCTGCACTCCTACGGCTTCATGGCTTCCTCCACCAAGCGCTGACCGAGACTATCGCTCTTGGAGAAACTCCTGTCGCATGAGCGGGCACGAGAAAAGAAGACGCACACAGGTATCACAAGCACAGGACGACGGCAACAGGTTACAACACATCGTTTTCATAGTATCTACACAATCGCTTGGTGGTCGTCGGTCACCAATCGACTGTCGGCCTCACTTTTTCTCGAGACGCACAGTCTGCGCGAGCCACTCGGCCTTCGTCTTCTTGGTCGCCTTCACTAGCTCCATCGATGCCGGCCGTAGCAGTAGAGAGAGAGGTAGTTGATGCACGCACGTCGTAGCGTGTGTCAGCACCGAGCGTCGAAACGATCGAGCGGTCTCGTTGTTTACACCGCGTAACACGTTCCCGCTCTTGTTCCCTCACTCGTCCAGCCACTCACTCGACCAGCCAGTCGTCACGTCGGTCGGTCTGTCGGTCGGTCTCGTCGGCCAGTCGTCGACTCGTTTTCAGCCGCCCTCCGCTTCACACGAACGAACGTCCTCGTGTTCCTCCACGTCCTTCAGGTCCCTTGTATCTCAAGATGACAACACCCCATCACACCGTCTTCTCTCTCCTCCTCCGTTTCCACCCCCAGTCGCCCTGTCGTCCATCCATTCATCTTCCAAAGCCGCAATGGACTCCACTGCGTGTCCCTCTTCAGTCTCGCCCGACAAAGCTCGAGCCGCTCCTCGCTCCCTCCCGTCCCAGCGGCTCAATATGTCCGAGCGGTCGTCCAGACGTCGGTCGCTATCCACGCAACCACTTACGTGCAGCCACCGATTGACTCTGCGCGGCTCCGCGGTCGCTTCAGCACCGGGTGTTGCCAGATCTCGGCCATCGTAATGCGCTCGTCCGGGTCCACGCACAGCATCCGTTCGAGCAGATTCTGCATGCCCTCCGACACGTCCCTCTCGAGCCCCCACGCCGCGAACACGGCCTTGACGCCGCGCTTTGCGACGTACCGGAACCCCGCGTCCGACGGGTCGGCGCGCTCGAACGGCGGCGACGACGTGAGCAGAATGAAGAACGCGATGCCCGTGGCCCAAATGTCGGCGCGCCGGGGGTCGTAGGCCTCGCGGGCCACGATCTCGGGCGCCATGTAGTAGTCTTTGCCCACGGCCGCGTCACAGCAAAGCGCGTCGGCGGGACGACGGCGGCCCAGAGATGACAGGGGCGACGACGAGAGGTCCGACAGCTCGGGCACACACAGCCCAAAGTCGGCGATCACTGCGCTCCCGTTGCGCAGCAGAATGTTCTCGAGACTGACGTCCCGGTGGGCGATGCCGTGCGCGTGGAGGAACCGCAGCCCCGAGAGCACATCGACGAGGAACGCGTGCGCGACCGCCTCCTGCAGACGCGTTGAGCCGTCTACGCCGCTCAGAAACGGTCCGTTGCCGTCATCGTGCACATCGTCTTCGGGGCGCGGTCCGCCACTACCCACTGCTGCTGTCGCTCTTGCGCCGCCGCCGCCGACACCGACAACGTCTTCGCCTCGCGGACGACCGCAGCTGTCGTCACTACAACTACGACGACCGCTACTGCTATCGACACGACTGCTATTGACACGACGGGTGCGGCTGCGGCTGCTCAGCCCTTCGTTACGGTCGACTCGCGGCCGGCGACGCTGGACACAGGCGTCGAGCAGGTCGCCGCCCTCGCAGTAGTCGAGCACGAGGTGCAACGCGCCCCGGGCCACAAAGCACTTGTGCAGCCGAATGACGTTCGGGTGGCCGCCCAGCGCCCGCACGCGGCTGAGCCCCTCGACCTCGAGCTGCACGTCCTCCTGCACGAGCTCCTGCGCGCGCGACGTGTGCCGGCTGGCCAGCTGCAGGTCGACGGTCTTGACGACCACGCGCTCGAGCGTGAGGCGGTCGCGGCACAGGAGGATCTCGCCGAAGAGGGCCGCGCGGAGCGACGTCTCGGGCTCGTAGCGGTCCGCGACCGCTTTGCTGGAGCTGTGGCTACTACTGCCGCCGCTCTGCGAGCTCGAGGGCCGACTTGGCATGGGGCAAAAGGACGAGCAGAGCGAGCGAGAGAGAGAGAGATGCGATGCGATGGGGGCAGAGCGGAAGGGGACAGGTCGAGTGGAGACCGTCGAGGCGATTACAGGACAGCGACCGCAGCAGCAAAGACGAGAGAGCGACTGACCGATGGACGGACGGACCGTGTGGATCGTCCGACTGATCGTAGCACGAGGCCAAACACAGCGTCGATGGCAGCCAAAGGACGCACGCACGTACGTACGCACGTGCGATGAGCTGCAGCTAACAAGCAGACAGACCAGCAGACCGACCGACCGACCGACCGACTGAACGACAGACTGACCGACACGGAGACTGACCAAGTGACTACTTGACCGACGGATACCCGGGAGGGAGAAGGCCGAGATGCACTTGAAGAGTGAGGCGATCAGCTGGTGACGAGTGGGTGAGAGGGTCGAAGCGACGTGACTTTGACTCGAAGTCGGGGTCTGCTCCAAGAGAGTGCACGTCAAAGTCAGCCGCTCGTCGTCAGCCGTTTGTCGCGTGTTGCGTCGGCGGCTCCAAAGCAAATGGAAAACGTGCCGACACTCGACACTCGCTGCTCTTTGGCCGCTCTCCGCTCCTTTCACGTCTCGTGGTGGCTGCTGCCTCGTTCTTGTCTCGACGTCGGCTGCAGGTCTTCCGGCCGTTTCACCACCTGACGCTTTGACGCCGTTTTTTCGGGGATACGTCTCAGTCAAACGACGCGTTTCGACGTTCGGCACGTTCAGTCGCAGTTAGCGCTCGCGTGCTCTGGAAGGGCTCTCCCGCGTGCATCGGTCAGACAAAAGCCGTTGTTTGCATCACGTCGTTGCTCTCGCTCGCTCGCTCCCTCACTTGCCCCGCAAGCCACTTCATGTGACTGTTAGGCACCGCATGCGCTGCTTTTCAGCGTTTTTTTCCTTCTTTTTCAGCCGAGAGATATCGCAAGACGCTTTGTGCCTACTCACTCACTGAACCGCCGCCGCTCGTCGTCGTCGTGGCCTCGCACTCGAATCTTGCGAGACGCAGGACACGGGACGCATGCGAACGAACGATGAGTCAGTCGGTGCCGGCGGAAAGGAACGCTCGAAAGCGAAAGCCTCGAGCTGCACCCGACAATGAACGCGTCCGCGCCACTTCAATGAGTCTATTTGTTGCATGGCCAGAGCATCGCAGCCGTTCAGAAGGATCGTTTCGGACTGATCGCCTGAAGCGCACAAGTCGAGTGGACGGTCACCGTCGCCCCCGGCAGCACTGAGCTTACGACGTGGGCAAGTAGAGCGTCAGCGACAAGTTGGACTGCACACGACAGCAGTCAAACTTGTCGCTTGCAAAAGAGCGGTGCGTGTGACACGCCGCATAGAGTCGCGGGCTGCCGAGAAGCTGTCGACATTATTGGCGTTGAGGACGTCGTGGAAGAGTGTGCAGCCGATCCCCCGTGCGCGGATCAAACGAGTACGCATGACAGGGTCGAAGCTTTGCGGACGCGAGAATATGTCCGGCTCGAATGTCGAATCCAAGCCGTAAGACAGGATTCGAGGGAGCGATCTGGCTCAGCGTTGGACACGCTGTTGAACAGAGAGGCAGACAGAGGGGCAGAGTTCGAACTCTGCGTACGAGGAACGCGCCGTAACGACTATGACGTTTCAGACGACAGAAGACGTTCATTGAGACTTTGGGCGTTGCGGTGTGAGCGATTGAGACGCGTCGGTCGAGACTTGTTCAGGTTCTCATTTGATTGAGCAATTGCAAACCAAAGCGCAGTTGGCCACATCGGCGCTCCATTGAGGCTGGAAGAAAAGCCAGGAATCGGAATCTCCACTTCGGATATCTCACAATCTGCGCACGTTGTCTTTCACTCCGGTCCTTGGCAAGGAAGCAGGTCCCGAGGCTTGTGCACTCTCTGTTTCTGGACGAAACAGCGAGACTTTGGTGGTCGAGAGCTCGATGCGCTTCGTGCAAGAAACGAACGATGAAGTCGCTCGTTGATCGATGTCCGAGCACTAATGTAGCGGTCACGTCGAACCATCGATGGCTGTAAGAGCTAAAACGATCCCTACTGCGAAAGAGGATGGAGTGGTACAACAAGCTGCTTTCGTTGAGCTTTTACATCTTTCGTATAGCTTCATGATCGGCTGTTGATGCAGACACGACCCGCGTAGAATCCGCTTCGCTTTCGTTTCATTAGTCATGTTCCGCTTTGTGGTGGCAGGATAGTGAGAATCGTTAGTGCTGGGTAAATGCGTCATTGCTGATGCGAGTCTACTGACGACTTGCCCAGAAGCGATAGCTTAGCTGGCAACTATCCGATAAGAGGAGGCACGCGCGATACTCTAGAACGAGCATTCGACTATAGTGAACTCGACTGGAAAGGCGACCGCGTCTGGATTAGCATCTCCAGTGTCGAATTTGGAACCCTGACGCATGTTGGCATCAGCCGTTTGTCATTGATTGAAATGACCGATCAGCTTCGAGTAGCGCGACTTGACTGGTCACGGGGAGACACATGCTAGTCATCAACGCCATAATGATATGCCGGGATACCGCCCGACTTCTTTGGTCGTAAGCGTCAACAAGAAACCCGCACTTAACTGAGCCGCATCTGCATCTTGTCGAGCACAATACACAATGGTGAAAGCAGTGTCGGCGAAGTGGGGAGCGTTTGCACTAGCTCAGACAAGGTGCTCTACATGTCGTGAGTGGCAGTCGATCACAACCTCATCTTGCGGTGCTTTAATCAATTGGAGTCATCATTGTATACTGGCTACCACCTCTCCGTATCCTTGTTTCAACTCCTTGTCACGTGCAAATTCAGGTGATGCAATACTAGCTATTCTTTCGTGCATGGAGTACTTCTCAAGTCCCCGT